GCCCCATATGAACCTCGGAGTCCCAAATTCCTTCGCACCAAATTTTGACCAACTGTCCCGAATCACCTGCAGGACCTAAGAGATTCTTTGGGCCCCGGATAGGGGGTGCGGATATATAAGCAGAGAAGGAATTACAAGAGTACTTATTCACCAGGAATATTTACAAAATTGGTTAACTATGATGAAACACAAAAAACGCAACAAGGAAGCGCAAAAGATAGGTTGAATTACCGGAACCAAGGAGGTCGCCTAGTAACTGGGCAAGCGTCCGGATGCCGGTATATTCACTTTTATTTAGAGATAACAAAAAGAGTGACAAAAAGATGAGTAGGGATTGATATCTTCCAAGGGGTGAAGAAATTCATACACCTGTACGGGGATGGTGATCTGGAAAGAGGGGTAGGGCGTAGGGTAGGGTCTTTTACAAAGTACAGGCAGGGTTGGCAAAAAATTAGAGACATAATAATATTATGAAAGGGCACGAATTACATAATAATGGGGAGGAAGTTCACCACAACACTAAATCCCCAAACGATGTTAATACTAATAAAGAATACATAAGCAGTGCCTATTGCCAATCTGTTCCATCTCCAGGGTCCCATGTTTTCACTATCAAAATCCAGCAGGTATATTATATATGAGTTTTCCCAATGCCACGGGATTCTGGTGAGTCCGCCGTAACACCTGGTCCAACCATAGTACGTTTCAACAGAGATAACGAGACTCCCCAAGCAAATGATCCAAAGGGTTTACATATGCGGTGACTTGTAAATCCGGATTAGGCTTTTGTTTGGTGAAGTATATTTCCACGCTTGGAGGACACATCAAGGAAATGAAGGGGGGAAAGTGACAGGCTTTATCCTTAGATATCAAAACCTACGGGCCCTTTTAGGCGGGGGTTTGGAGAGCTCTGGTGGCTTGTGGTGGGTTGCTGTTGACTGCTGGCTTTTTTCGTATCTGGCAATCGAATCCACCCGTTCCTGTAGCAGCCTTTCGATTCTCCCATATCCGTGAATGCAGGCATAATGGAGTGCTTTTCTGAGGCCAAATGTGGCATCAGTTGTGCTAGGATTGATGTCGATGTGTTCTAGCAATATCCTAACAACCCCCTCGTTCCCGTTTTCGGCAGCCCACATTAGCGGCGTTTGGCCGTATTGAGTGTCTGCTATGCTGGGATTGGTGTCATTCCGTTCCAGAAGTGCCCTCACCACCCCCTCGTGCCCAAATGCGGCAGCGTGCGTGAGTGGAGTTCGGCCACCTCCAGTGCCAGCCATATTGGGATTGACGTCACTACGTTTTAGTAGTATCCTCACAACCCCCTCATGCCCATTCCTAGCTGCCCACAGAAGCGGTGTTTCGCCACTTAGGTCAGTTGCGTTGGGGTCGACATCGCTCCGTTCCAGCAGCACCCTTACGACCCCTTCATGCCCACCCTCGGCAGCCCACAGCAGCGGTGTTCGGCCACTTATGGAGTCAACTGCATCGGGGTCGACGTCACTACGCCCCAGAAGCATCCCCACGACCTCCTCACGCCCATTCCCGGCAGCCCACGAGAGTGGTGTTCGGCGGCCATATCTTTTGCCAACTTTATTGGAATTAACGCCCTTCTCTCCCAGCAGCATCCTCACAATATCCTCTTGCGTGGCGGCGAAATGGTGAGTAGCGGCAGAGAAAAAGACCCACCGAAAGTGTTCTGGATGTGTTCATTCTATGAAGAGAGGTGGACGATTAAATACAAGAAAGTGGGCATGCCAAGGCACCCCCTGCCCCCACAGATCCAACATGATATCTGTAGACTACTCGAGTAATTCACTGTCCACAACCGTACCATGCCGCAACTAAATTATGACGCAACCAAAACCTATGGCTCTCGCTCGCACAATCAGGCATGCCCCCACAGGCCCCGGCACACACCCGCCCCTGGGATTACGCCATAATTGCCCACTCCTACCACCCCACGAGCTCGTTATTTGGCCACCTGTTCTCTCTGCCGGTTTGTAGGATTACGCAAGGTAACACAAAAGTGTACTGGAGAAGGACAACGCTCGATACAACATCCTAACACATAGTATCTTGTATTTACTTTAAGAACTCAATTTAGGCCGTCTCTTTTTATAGACACCCAATACAGGTGGACAGCGTATCAGTTTATTTTTAAGGTGTCCTTTACCGTTTCATTATCACTACAACCATAACTCTTCAACATATTTATTGGCTAAAACACCCAAAGATAAGCGATACCATTATAAGAACTGGCAGATCAAACCGAACCCCGTGAGTAAAATGCTTAAAGGCGGGAACAGAGCTGTATTATTAGGGTCCAGGTCCAGGGGCTAGTACACCTGCAGGTCGCTTGCGACAATTCTTTTTCAATGATAACTTCCAAACTCGCATACCCCCCACCTCTAACTGCTATCGTACTGAGAATTAACAATCCGGATTCCACCGGGTTTTCACTTTGTGAAACACCTTTTGGAAAAGGAAACATCCGCCTCCATTAAGACCAGCACGGAGGAACTGCCCTGTGGTATTATCAACTGCAATGCACGAGTAAATCTAACTCTGGATTTCCAATCACTGCCCCCCGATCTAGAAATAACGAACTGGAGCACCAAAAGATATCCTATAAGATCTCTTCAAGTGCGCGATACGCAGCCGCACCTCCTATTATCCAGAGGGAGGAAAAAAGCAAACAATGACTATCTCGACGATACGTTTTTCTATGAGAAAGCGGACCACCCGCTTTATAACAGTTTAATAATTGCTTACTCGAGGAAGCCTATTCGTCCCGCAGGCACTCCCTCGAGCCACCTGCAAGCTGGGACCACTCCGTTTCAGATCGTGGAATTACGATGGGTGGGCGTTTGACGTCACCCCACTCAGAAGCCCCCGTTTAAAGACACCTATCATATGATAGCAAGATTTATAGGAATCCATCATATACAAAGGGGGTAGAAAAAAACACATAAGATGTATTGAATGAGAGAAAGCGGAGTTTCAGAACCAAGATGCAGTACAATGGGGGAAAAAGGATCCCAACCTAACGAGCTGCCCCAAAGTCCAAAAGCTTGCTTCGGGACAGGAAAACCAGCACGCTGTGGACGTATCTAGTAAACGGAGGTGTAACACACTATGGAAGACTAATCCTGTGAGACGCTAAAGAGCATCGCTATGAGCAATAGCCGTGTGAAAATATGGGCTCTAAATACATGACCGATACCCACTGCACACGTCCAATCAGTGGACTACGCACTTTGGTCGTAGTCTGTTCCGTGGCCACCTACAGGTGCATGCATGGCGGTATCCAAACGGATACTCCCATCACGATTGCCGAACACTGCGGTATAACACATTATTTCTAGTATCACACAGTACGTATCCGTACGGACAAGTACGGAGGGGCCATTATCTTAGCGATCACAGGGACTACAATACTAGTAATTCATCCCTCCTACCCCGGCAAAGGAAACCTCTCAGCAACCAGTCCTATCCCGCAACCTACGAGTGACAACCCGTGAACACGAAAACCCACAACACATCCCAACACACATCCCCAAGACCATAGAAACACACCCAGTGCCGAAACCCCGCTATGATACATATAATTCGGACAACCGGTGCCCGGATTTAAAATGAAAAAGCCCCCCCCCCCCCAAACACAACCGACAACTTTTGACTCCCAAGCTCGGACAAACTCCCCTCTCTCTCCTCCTTCTCCCAGTGATGCCCGGGATGATAAGTACGATAACTCAATCGGAGCGCTCGGGGTTTACCCTATCGCACGTCTGTTCTCTCGGGGTTTACCGCTGCATCGGAAGTTATCATACTGACTTCAAACTTATGCATGCACTACAGGACACACACAGGCGGCTACTTGTATCGGAACCATTCGGTTGGCTTCCCTACCGACCGGCGTATACCGCGGTGCAGTGACTTTCCGTTATGATACCAGACAGGGAGGTGACTCGACCAGAACGCATCTCAAAAGAGTAAAGATCTAGAAATCTGAATCACTGCGCGCGCCCACGGACGGAGAAAATCCAGATCATGAGATGGATACCGGTACTCGAATACCCGATCCTTGTGCTAGGACATTGGACTTGCCTCTCTTAGTAAGATCGCTTTTTTCCCCCCTTTTTCCCGGAGGAGGAAATTTTGGACTACCCACTCTATGATAGCAGTAGCACAAGGCTCGTTTATTCGAGTTCTTACGGTAATAACTATGGGGACAGTACGGTACTGTACTCGTACCCTAGTATGATACATGACTTTGGGTATTCGAAACAACAAAGTGATTCAGTTCCACGGGACGCCCGTCCCACCTACCATACCGGTACTGTACTCCCCGGTCCAACGCGTTGTACGAGCACAGTACTGCACAGCTACGAGTATATCCAAACCGCTCATCTACTCGTACATGTAACTCCTGCAGCCGTTAGATATGAGTACTGTACACGCAGTTTTCCAACCCCGGCGAATAAAACCTCATCTGCAGGTGCGGTGTCTGTGCCGGTACTGGAGCGTGCTAGATTCGTCATGTCGTGCAAACCATGATAACGATAAGCAGCGCGAAAAAAATGATGGGAAAAACACCGCAAACACAGAACTTTTCATGTCCAACTATCGTTGTAAAGATTCGTAAAAAAAATATAAAAAAAATAGTACATTCGTCACTATCATCTCGACCAATGTAGCTTGTGGGTGCGCTACAGCCTTTGATATGGTATAGTATGGCACGGCATGTCACGGTACTCCCCGCTCTTCAGTTCTCCGTTTCAACTAGCTCGTGAGGGGATCCGCAGACCTTCAATGCAATTGTTCAACATGAGCTAGGATAGAAGGAAAAAAATACTATGGAGACAACTACAAAATTTTAACATCCCATTCTTCCGTCCTACCATATAGTATCCGCATTCGTTCATCCATTCATCCATTCATCCATCACATCCGTCCGAAAAAATGCCAATCTTGGAGAGAGAGAATCCGACAAAAAAAAAAAACTACTCCTTCCCCGCCCTAGCTTTTCTTTCTGAAGGGGGAGTAGGTGGGAACCCGCTCTCAGTGCCCACGATTCCAAGACCCAATCCCAAACCTCCCATCCCCGTGGGTGTTTTCTCCTTCTCCTCATCTTCGAGGGTTTCCACCATGCTCAGCTTGCTGAGGTTCGGGCTCTTTCCAAGCGCCTCACCGCGAAACCTCGAGAACGGCGATTTGGCCATGTCTGGGGACCGAGGGCTCAATGGGAGAGCAAAAAGGTCTTCTCCGTCCTCGTCCAGGGGGCTCTCGTGGGATGGTTGGAAGGGAGTGTTGTTTGTGGTCGTGGTGAGCTTTAGCCCACCCTTTAACTGTGGGGCTGTCGTCGTCGCCGGGAGTGTGGGTACCGGTGCGACGGCAGCGGCGGCAGGAGTGGAAGCGACTGCTGGGGGGAGAGACAGGAAGTTCTCCGACACCCATACCATTTCCTCGCCCACCATCCAACCCTCGCGGCGAACGGCTTCCTCGTCCATTCCTCCACCTTCAACACCAACTTTTACCCTACCTGTACCGAGACCACGAGCACCCTCACGCTCCAGTTCACGGGCAATGTCTTCGAGGGCTTTAAGGTCAGCGAGGCGATGTTGTGCCCAAGCGGTATGTCCCTCTGTCCCCGCGGGCACACTAACAACGCCCACCTCTCCGAGGGTAACCGGCGGCGTCCAAGTTGGGTAGAACAAGATTTTTACGGAATCCGGACTCTTTGCGTCACCGGTCAACAAGAAGTAAACTTTCCCTTTCCCTTCCCCGCCAAGGATATGGGTCGGAGCCTGCACAATTGGTCTCGCAGAGAAGAAAGCTGGGAGATCATCGCTCGGTTCCAATTTATCCAATCCCCCATTCTCAAATTGCAGCAACTTTGCCGTGGACAGTGGAGCCGTGGGGAGGTCTTCCGGATTATTTATTTGACGATCCAACCATGCCGCCTCAGCACGCTGCTGTGGGGAGAGTGCATTTGGGGTCTGGTTCGCCGAGGAGGAGTATTGGAGGGCAAAGTATGAACCTTTTTCACTTCGAGCCGAATACACATCGGCTGATAGAGCGGCGTACATGGCGTCCCACTCCACGACCCATTCGCCGTTTGACGAGTTTGTGCTGGGTGAGATGTCCCATTCTACAGTTAGGACGCGGGTAGTTGAGTCATTTGTGGGGGGTTCAAGCGTCGCTTTGGCGTTCTGGATTGAGAGGGGCAGCGTTGTGGAGGTAGAGGTAGACGGCATATTGCTTTTGGCGGAAAAGTTGGAGTTGTGAATGCGGGGAGCGGAGTTTCTGAATCAAGAAAGGGAAACGGAAGGTGGGGGGAGATGTGAGGGGAAGTTTTGTGAAGAGCAATCGTCCTGTGCGGCTGATGCTGTGATGAACTAAGCTATCGGGTTCGTCGTAGCTAAAGAAACGAGAGCGGGGCCTGGAACACGGGTAGAGAGTACTTTTGCTGAAAGGCAGTAGTAGAAATAGTAGTAGTCAGTTAGTTTCTCCTATCCGTGGCATCCTTAGTGAGCGCATGGCCTAAATTACCAGGAGCTAAACAGGGGGAAGAATCAACGAACAAACTCACGCATCTGACAAGCGCGTGATTCGATGCGCGACCGAAGGAGGGGCAAGAGAGTACCGTGGGTAGTAGCGAGCGGCACCTATGGATGACCCCGCGAGACGATGGATGAAGTCAAGTACCTCTCACTGTACAGCAGCCGTACTGTATGTATGATAGGGGGTTGGAGAGTTCAGCCTTGGGCTGTATTCTCTTCTGCACTAATTTACAACAACCACGCACAAAAGGGAAGGGGAAGAAAAAGAAAAAGAAAGGGTGTTCCCGTGAGCTCGAACCGATGAGGAACTCTTCTCCTCCGGAGGGTATTTCTCCTCCTTTACTCCATCCCAGCATTCGTAGATTAACGTACCCCCTTCGGGGAGAAGAGAAAATTACTGAAATCCCGTTCCGTTTCTTCCATTGGATTCCGCAGATAAAAATAGCCGCACATCAGGAACCAAACAAACCTCTTCTCCTCCTCTACCCTCCACTTATCATCCCTGTGGGTCTCCAATCCGCCTGTCATTCGATGCCGATTCCTCGCCATTATTGGTTGGCTCGATGATCATCTCAAAGCTATTTTTAGGGACCTTGGCTCGATTGCCAACTCCCAACATTTGCTTGGTTTCATGCAGGCAAGGGTTGTGACATCCCTAACCCTGGAGTTTTGGGTGTGTCGCCGAACTAGGCGGAAGCGAGTTGTTTAAGTTGAGGCTCTGCGGAGATGTCAGTCGTGTTCGGAGCTTCTACTCGAGTAACATGCGACCACTGATCACCCGTACTGCACCAGTATCTTCACAACTCTCACTCGGAAAGCGTACTCGAGTCGTTACCGGGAAATGTGGGATCACAGCAGTGTCACCCAAAGGTTTCAAGCTCAATTCAAGCACACCACCCGGAGGGGAGTGTGGGTAGCCGAACTAGTAATGATATGCTACGTTCCACAAGCCCCCGATGTCTAGATATTCCATACAAGGTCTCAGAAGGCAGGGCCAATTGCTGACACAATCTACCGCACTCCAATACGAGTACCAGTGCCGGTAGACTAGTGTCGTGTGACCTCGCAGTGCCGCGCTCCCCTCTCGACACTGGTGATATTAGAGAGAAGCTAAATCGCAGGTATCACGAAGAATACGCATGACATGGCATACACGGTGTGGATAATGTTCCTGTCCGCCCTTCTGTAGATAGAGCGCAGACATGCGATACTAGCCGTACGGAATTGACTAGGAGGTTGCGTCCATAACCGTTAGCTGGTTTGGTAGGTGAGGGAGAGGAACTCGACTGAGCTCGATGTATGATAGAATGAGTGGCAAACAGACAAGCACCGGAGGGTTATGGATTTGGCCGACTTGTGGGGCAAGAAGAAATGATTTCACACTCAAGTTACTCGGCGAGCCTATGTTGCTTTGTCTACCGTACTGTGCAGCATGTGCTGCAAGGGATAAAAATGTTGATCCAACTTTAGTTGCCACAGCAACTCGTCACGAGTGTGCCCAGTCTGGGGATCATGACCCAAGTTATGAGGTCACGACCAGCCCCTGGAGGGGCAAGGTAACCCAAATAAGATTTCCACTTACTTGTATGATAAGAGCTTCGCAGATTGCTTTACCCCACCACTTTACTTTAACCCCCCCCCCCACCTTTACCGTAGTTAGCGCTGAACGCTCGCTTCAAACCCATCCTAGACTACATCCAAACAGACAGTACCCTCAAACCAAGTCCAAAATCTCTACTCGAACACCAGCACCCAATTTTTCCCCCCTAATGATACCAAAACCCAGCTTCATGAAATTACATGCCATCATCGAACGGGTCCACAACGAGAGAGAGAGGAGAGAAAGGGTCTTTTTTGGGGGGCGGGGCTGCGGGGACTCTGGAATACGACATATGAAGTTTCGTCACACTCCTTAACTGTGCTGGATGTGGGAATGCCTGACGGGGATTTGGGCGGCTTGTGGATTGGCTGATATATAGGGGAGTTCTGGAATCATGTTTTCAGTCAAAGCGGGGGAGATCTTGTTGTCGACTTACTGGTACTTTGTAGCCGCTATAGAGAGGTTCTAGGGAGAGCGCATTGATCCCGAGCAATTCCAGGATTGGCTCAATCCGTCTACAGGACGGACCGATCTTTGTAGTACTAACTCTAGGAGAGGTAGGATTGTCGGGTGCGATGTCTGGTAATGATCCGTGGGTGGGCTACGGCGTTCATAATTACCAAGGAAGCCTCGATTGGATAGCTGCTGATGGGGACTTTCATAGCCAAAAGGGCATTATGGTATTCAATCGCCTTTTCACCTCAACCACTCGCCCCCTAAAAAAACCACAGGATTTTCAATGCAACTGCAAAGTTTTTATTTTCTAAAAACAATAAGAGGCCGAGAATAGCCTATGCTAGCCAAAGCTACATTCCAATCCCACGAATCCCCCCATGGAAAATAACGCAACCCCACCAAATCCACCACATGAGCCAGAGATTTTACCCAACGATAGTAGATCACCCTCATAGAGACTCAGACACCTGAGAAACTACAGGCAACTCTAGAAATCTGATTGAATAGCAAAGAGCGCAACCCCTAACATCCACTTGCGTGATTACCTCTAACATATAGGAAGGGACTAGGTGTGGTAAATAGCCAAAAGATAAGCAGTTGCAAAGAGTTTTTTTCATGAGAATTTTTAGGTTTTTTTAAATGGATTTTTTATCCGACAAGAGATCATAGAGCCCGAGTAATGCAAATATCGACGAGGTTAAACTTTGCTGCGTATATAATGCCTTCCACATTTCAGTGCTTTCCACGGCTCGGGGGGGTGTACATGTCGCCGTCTTCCCCGCCGGCCATCTCGAGGAGGTCATTGGAAGGGAGGCTACTGGGCCTGGCCGTGGGGGTAGCGGCCTTAGTTCCGGACACCCCCTTGCGGGTGAAAATAAACTCAACTGGCGCCTTGTTGACCGAACTAAACCTACTCGGAGAGGCAGGTTGACCATTCGTGTTCCCGCTGGGAACGATAGACGCAGCCCACTGGTTAACCTTTTCGTTGTGAGACATGGGAGCTCTTAGATTTGCGGCATGTCCTGCGAAAAGAGTGCTCTTGGGTGCTGGAGTCGGTTCGAGGACCGGAATGTCGATGGCGTTGGCCAGCACAGAGTCGATCATTGTACCGAAGGGGAGATCGCGACTTGCAGAACTACCGGCGTAGGAGAAGAGCGTACTAGGTGACTTGGAAGCTGCGCCACAGTTGGGAGTTTTATAGCGTCCAAAATCTTTCTGGGATGGAGCTCCTAGACCGGATTTATGAGAATGCCCGTCAAAGTCCGATGCTCCACTCGATGCCGTTGGTGCATAAGTAGAGCCAACTACGCTAGAGGTGCGATACGGCTGCATCTTCTCAATACGAGAGCAAAGCAGGGTATTCATGCTCGACGCGGTACCAATACGACTAAGCATCGAAGTGGAAGCGGTGTCTGATGCTCTCGAGTCGGCTAAGTCGACAAGGGAAGAAGAAATTGCGTTGTTGCCAGAACGCCCCTCACCTGCCGTAGGGGCACCAACGGGACCTACTGTAGTCTCATCTGACTCAACCTCTGCAAAGAAATCTTGACGAGCCTTGACGGTTTCGGGAGTGTCGAGGACGACCTCATCATCAATGCGAAACCCATCAAGGACCTGGATCAGCGACCCGCATACACTACCGACGGGAGTAGGTAATGCGCTAAAGGGAGCAAGCGGTACGCTAACGGGAGCGAGCGATTCGCTGACTGGAGTGGGCGTTAAAATTTTTGCCTCTGGGGTAGTCCGCACAAAGACTCCTGGTCTCTGGGTCATGACTACATCGCCGTCTCTGTCCAAATCGTCCGAAGGCCCAACACCTGCATTTCCTTTCAAATCTCTCTGCTCTGAAAACACCAAGTCAGCTTCTATGATAGTTCTGGAGGGTTTCCGCCAAAGGACGGATATCAGGAGATATGCCTACCCTTCTCGTGGAGTCTTTTAGCCGAAAATATATCTTTTTCGTCGTCGCCAAATGTTTGTCCACTAATCCAGTGGTCGGGATAGATAGATGGAACAAGCCCGAGCTCTATCTGCCTACGGCGGTTGTCATAGAACGCTGGTCCAGTATAGTGATCTGACGATGTATTCTGGTCCTTCCAATCAAAAGGGCGAGGAACTCCCACGAACTTGTTGGGATCCGAGGGATCCTGCAAGTAAGGATGGCTAGCGCGGACAGAATTTTCGAACCCGGATTTGCGATAATTTGGGCGAGTGGCCCATGCGGGTAAGCGGGGACGCGGAACACCAATGAGCCTGTTTGGATCCGTGGGGTCCTGCAAGTACGGATGAGTAGTGCGGCGGGAGATATCTGAAAAAGATTCGCCATTATTCGAGTCGGGTGCGTATGCAGGCAAAGCAGGACGTGGAACACCGATGAATCTATTGGAGTCTCGGGGGTCCTGTTCGTATGGGTGATCTGGAAGTTTTCCCTGATCTAGGACTGACCAATGCTTGACCATGGATCTAGGGCCGAGAGGAACCCCCTGGAAATTTCTGCCACCGTCGTTAAGTCCTCCGTGACTAGTACTCGAATTCTCCCTGTCGCGACCTAGAGGATGGTGATCCTAGGTCAGAGATCGGATTTCTTCGAAAACAGCTAGTTTACTAACACATACCTTTGGAAGTAGCGCGATCAACGATTCTTGCACCCAGGAAATCAGTACGACGTGAGTCAATTCCGAGTTCAATGTCAACAGCCAAAGAGTCATGAGTGTTCCAGACCGCCTTATTAACGATCTGACTATCATTAGGTAATAAGTTTTTCAGGGCGATTTCAATTCCAGTAGCAAGATTACGGGTGTCACGTAGTCTCTGTCGTTTCCTTTCCTCATCCGCAACTGTGTAATTTTTCTTGGGGATACGATAATTGCCCATGATGGTATCTTGCCCGCCGATTGGACGTTTTTTCCAAGTTTTAGAAAATTTTGCGGTTGGGGCCATGGTTCTGTGACCGGGTGACAGCCGATGACGCAGATGTTAGTATTGATGAGGGTAAAGGAACTGTGAAATGCCAAGAGAAAGAGTAGCGGCAGCGGTGATTGCCAACGCACAGTAAGTTTCTGCAAACACTAGGAACTTCACGAGCCAAATGTTTCTTGAAGAGAGTAATCAGCAGTCCGAAATTGGAGATGGCGCGGTCTAAGCTCCTTTGGGTACTTGGAAAATGATGAGATGAGGGATGGGGATATAAAAGAATACTAACCAGGAAAGAAGTTTAAGCAAGCAAAGCCTCTGTATATCGGCTGGCCAAGAAGCGGTTGGAGGGAAAGGTTGGATAGGGAGGGGAGAACGATGTGTAGGAGAAGAGAGAAGGGATTTTTGGGTGAAGAGTTGCTAGAAACGCAAGCAATACAAGCGGGTGCACTGCTTGGTGCGTGGACAGAAAAGTGTGATGGTGGTGGCCGCGTCTCCTACGTGGTTTGGGAAACGGGTGTTGGTGTTGGTTGGTGGGATGTCCTGGAAGAACTTTGCATGAGGGAGCTTTTGTTGTGGGATCTACGTAGTGTGAGAGGGCAAGGGATAATGCATCAAGGATCACACGGATTTGGAGGATATAGTGGGGCTTGACTGTCCTCATAGCTGCGCCACTGTGGTGCTACTATCAGCTACTATCAATGAGAGTTTCGCTGTTCTGTACTGGACCCGGCATTGAGGAAGGTTGACCCTGGGTAAGATGCTAAGGTGCTGAGGCAGATATTTCCTAATTTGCGGAAGATGGAGTGAGGTTGGTGAATATATTGATTTTGTTTCTACTGATGGTTTAAATTTCCAGGTTCCCCCTTCACGAGAGTGTGATAGTTGCTTTCCTAGGAATGTGAGGAGTTCAACGACTTTCCTAGACCGACTTGGGGGCGCGGGGATGCTCGCTATTGGTTATTTGCGATTTCTCGTCATTTCTGCTGTGTGATCTAGAGGTCTCATGCCATGACCTAGCGGTTCAATAGAGGTTGCACTCTTGGACAATTGATTTATCAATGAGAGCAGCACTTTTCCACAGGCGCGGTGCTCGTCCCTCCACGGAAATAGGAACTATTAACCCCTCTACTATATCGGTGTTTGCGCTTTAGTGCAAGACGTCGGTCTCAGAATTGCCGGTTGTGAGGAAGCAGCTGACATAAGCGCTGAAAGCTGCGCCACACGAAAATTTCACATAATATGCCAGCATTAGATATCTGCGGTGTATCTAGATTTCCAGAGCCCCAGACCCCAAGACGGGTGGAATAACGCCTGTTTCGGCAATTTCGTGTCGCCTTGAAGATACATTATTACACCTTTTCCCCTTTAAAGCGTCACTCTAAATCTCGCCCGGCCTCAATGCATCAAAGGTGTATCTCCCTACGCTCTTTTCCTTTTCTTTTAGCTCAGGCACCGGAAATGCGGCCAGCCGCCCTCATCTCTAGGGTGCCAAACACCCGTGTGACTCATCTGGCCTACTATAGTTGTTCCGAAGCCTTGATCTGGCGGTTGAAAGTTTCCAACTAACAAAATGTGATAGCACATCTCTCGACCTATAAGATCCAGCGTGCCTATTGCCTAGACAATATCAAGGTTCTCCAAAAGTCCTCTAAACTTTCTTCTTTCCTAATGCTACTTTTACAGCTTCCTAGTGGATTTGATTCTGGGCGAGGGATTGGATTGGGAGGTGAAACAGCCGGGATCTCGGGGGCCAAGGACCCGCCACGCTCAAGATGCATTGCACAACGGATTATGACAGCTAGCCACCTAACTTTTGGGACACAGTTACCGGGCGCCCAGCGATGGGGTTGAGATTCTACAACAGGATCGCGGTGACGAGCGCAGGGGGTTGTCTCAAGAGTAAATATTGGGGGTCGAACGCTTCTCGATATATTTCGTGATCGATGGGAAGACCGAGGAACGTTTCGGAGCATTAGGCTATTTTTTTGTTCGGTGCCGGTGACACCTTTTCGCTGTAACTCTGGCTAGGTAGTTACTGAGAGAGATTAGTGTTCTGCACCGTTTCGACTAGTTGCTAAATCGATGCTACTCTAGGGTCCCACACTGTACTAGTAGTGTGATATGTTCTTGATTGCTGTGAGGAATGAGAGTTGTGGGATTTCCGGCAGTGAGGGTTTGGTTATATATGCGCGCGTTTCTCCTGATCACTGATGGAAGGGAAGGGAGAAACTGGGATCCTAGAAAAAAACTTAAGGTATAAATACCGACCACCAAAGAGTCGGGGGGTCCGTGCATACAGTAGTGCCTCTATAGTAGTTCTATTGGGGTATGGTAGTGATAATCCCTTTACTCCCATAAGGCACCATCCCGGAAAACAATCCCGCTCCTTCCCTTCCCTATTATAGCCGTTGCGCAACTAGACTTTGAGGGGTTGTGTAGAGGACTGGAAGGTGTCTCGCCTTTCCAAGTCGATTGTTTATTCCCACTCAGTCCTGATTCTGTCCGCGAGCTCTTCAGAAGGCGCTGCTCAAGCTATGTCCAAAGGCTCTGTTATCACACACAATGAGTAGAGTGTCACCAGGCAGAGTTCGGGGTGGTTGGGTTCCTAGATTACTTATTTTCTTTCTTTTTCCTTCCCCTTAACTCTGCGATGTATCTATAATCGTAATAGTGCAGGAGAATACCAAGCACCTTCTAGTGTACTGGAATATGACGCAACCTGAGGCAGATATAAAAAATCCAAGACAAATTTTAAAGCAAACTAAGAACAAATTTTAACGGCCATCGTTCCTGTGCATTTGCGCTCCATGATCCGGGTGCTAGAAAAGTAGAGGGATTGTCGACGTGCTCGATCCAAAGCTTCCTTGCGCTAGTGACGCACTCCCCCGACACAGGAAGAACTTCTACTAAAAGAAAGTCCACGAGCCGCAAGTCTTTATTTAACTTGAAAACTTCCCAATTCGCTGCCGGGGGGGATGGCTTTTGTCTATCAAGACCCAAATACCTGCCAGGGGGAGCTGGTGAAGGAGGAAAGGGTAGGGGTGAAAGGGTATACGTAGAAGCGCGATTAAGAGAGTGGGAGACAAACGGCAACTCCTAGAAAATAGCAAAGCGCTCGATAGCTCAATTGCCTAACCTCACAGATGGACACTGTTTGGCACGCAACAAAAGATAGCTTTAAGTAACTTTCCCTGCGTTTTTACAAACCGATGATCCTAAAACAAAAAAACAGTTATTATGGAGCTTACAAGTTGACCTGCACCACCAAAAATAGGTGAACAACGTTAACTACCCCAGCCGGCGGGACGACTGCTTCCTGAATACTGCCCGCCTCCTGTCCCCCTGCTAGCAGGGGTGCGTCACGACCTGGCGAACACTAAGCCAAAGGCTAGTGGCTACAGAGGTGTCTACCGCCTTCTCGTACAAAACCCCATCCGTGTTCTCGATCTGGAGCTGAATTTTCGCAGGTCCGTGAAGTGAGTCCTCCTACCACCGACTTAATGCCAGTAGTCTCTAACTCACCTGCATACGTGACAAAGTTCGGTGACGGGGAGGTGGTGGTGGTGGGATGGTTCTGGAAAGAACTTCCGTGAAATGAACATTCGCCCCTGGGCCCGCTTTGATATGCCATGTTCTCCTCTGTAAAATCCAAAAATATGATATCTTGTCCGACGGGGTATCGGGCGGGGCATACCGGAATTTTTTCTTGGTTAACTGTAAGATATTCTATGTTCTAGCGCGATAGGTTTGTATGCCTAACATTCTGCTAGACTCCCCTCGGCTTCCCGAGTGGTATTGCTGGACTCGCTAGAGAAACGAATCGATTCCAGGATTAAACGAAACAATTCTGCCGAGTGATAAACAATGATCCAGAGCGGTCTGTGCCACAGCAGGGGGCAAAAATACGTTCACATTTTCTAGGTGTTTGGGCTTACTAAAAGTGTGAACGTATCATATTTTTGCCCACCGCTGTCTGTTGCTAGCCACTGCGACCCCCAGGATAAGACGAATCACTCCAAATCTCCATTTTTACCACAGATTTTCAAACCGATCCTACGAGGATATATTAAAGTCTTGAGAGAGACAGGCATCTGGAGGGTTAGGGTTACTTGATTAGATGTGACATTCTGTAGTGTACGAGCGCAGAGGATTTTTCTTCCGGAAAGAGAGGCCAGCCGAAAGATGCGTTCCCTGGCCAAGGTAATAATTGGAGGATGTCCGCGATCTGAAGATGCAGGATTACGGCTGTTTATACTATGCCTAGGTTACCCAAGTGATAAAGTGGCCGGCCGAATACGGCACCTCCAAAATGAGGGAAAGTGTTGCAGGCACGTAAATAGGATCAATCGCTAGTCTAAACCACTATTAAAATATCGTACATGGATATTACAACAGGAGAGAAAATGATAGAAAATCTCATTTCTTGCGGATATTTTTGACCTTGCGCTTCTTGAATACCACTCCAGTGCCCTCTTCTTTCTTTACCTCTAACGCAGCGCCATCATTACCCTCGAGGGCATGGATCCCTGGCGGCGAGTGCGGCTCTTCAGCCTTGATCTTGGGACCTGTTCCCGAATCCGCTCCCTCCTGCTTAACATCATGCTCTTCCCGAACCTCCTCCTCCTTCCATTTCCCCTTCAACCTAAGTAACCGCTCCATACCCCCTTCACCCTCATCCTCCATCCCAGGATATGACTTAGTCTCAATCTTAAAGCTTCTTATGGCTTTCTCATCTTCGTCTAGTACCTCCCACTTCCGTTCCGCCTCCTCCTCCTCAAACTTCCGCTTCATGTCCTGCCGAATCTCCTCCTGGACTTTCTCTTTCTCTGTCATTTTCCTCTCAGGCGCATCGGGCACTACCTCTGTCGACGACTTCCACTCTCCCATCAGCGCCATTTCCGCACGGTAGTTATCCGGTAACGCAACGCCCAGAGACTCGAGCTCGTTCATTTGACGTTTCCTTTCTGCATCCGTGAGGACTCTTGCGGGCTGTCTTGGCGGTGGGGGTCTAGCGGTGGCGGATGACGAAGATGATGATGCAGAGGTGGAGGAACTGCTGGTGAGAGCATTCAAGCGCGCGACTTCCCGTTTGGCATTTTCGGCAGCAGCTTTCTCGCGTTCGTTGTTTCGGTGGAGGTCGCGGAGGAAGCGCTTCAGACTGCCTTGGTGCTTGGGGGAGGCGTCGTGGTTTTTACGCGAGAGGGGGGTATCGGTTACGTACATTTTGCAATGTTTGCAGTAGTACCTGGGCGTGGATTTCCAGTATTCGGACATTTTCGGGAGTGGCTATTTGTAAAGTGGTGAGCTTGTTTTGTTGTGGAGAAGGGGGAAGGTGAACTTTGTGCCGCAGATGATGAGGCTGAAGTGGTGAGTTGAAGATCCATGCTTTTATCGCGAGTGTTTAGTTACCCGGCGGAAACGCGGGGTTAGCGTACTGGTTGCTACCGCGCCGGACGCTTGGCCTCGCGCATTGATCTGCCCCTCATTAACATCCCGGAAGATTCCGTCTTCTGTAACCACGGTCATGTTTAAAAAAGGGTATTTATCTACATCATCCCATCTCCATATGGACCAATGCTAACCGCCATCTGTAGATTCACCGGCTCGTCAAAAACCAACCTCAAGTCCTCCGTCCAGCGTTCCCTGCGGGCAAAGCTGGTTGAACAATTCCCCCTCCTAGCACCTCACATCGACGAAATCCTCCCTAAGAAGTCGCAACTCTCGCTCCTCAAAGCGCCCGAACGCCTCTCTCTCTACGCTCTCGGCAATGAAGTTCTCTTCTTCCAGCACCACGACGATGCGCTATTCCCCTCACTACGCCTGGTGCATAAATTCCCCAACTGCTTTCCCACCGTGCAGGTCGATCGCGGGGCCATTCGCTTTGTGCTTGCGGGCGCGATGCTGATGTGTCCGGGTCTGACGTCGCCTGGGGCGAGGCTGCCGGCAGAGGGCGAGGGATATAATGCTGGGATGGTGGTTGCAGTCAATGCGGAGGGGAAAGAGAATGCGTGTATGGTGGGAATGTTGAAGATGGGCACTGATGAGATTAAGAAGGTGAATAAAGGGATTGGAGTCGAGACAGTGCATTATTTAGGGGATGGTCTATGGAGGTTAGATGCTGATTAGAGGGAATTTATCACCCCAAGCGCTTTTTAATTATGGCGCTGTTAGGGGGGGATCTCCATTTCTCAATGCCCTTTAAGGGTTGCTAGGAGAGATATTGAAGGCACTATCTAACTTATCATGGGAACGATCAAAACTCGTTTTTTATAAGGAGTTGCAAGGATCGTAAGATGGTAATCCCTATGGGTACATCTCGTTGCGATATTTGAAACCGGGAACAGTCAAATCCCTGGCCGATCCCTCGGGCACAAAACTTTATCGTGATTCCGCCCTTGGTAAGTCCCAGTGGGGTATGATCCCCTAGCGATAGCGATAGTAAATTCTCATCACATGTCGCTAAGGTAGCATGTGCTATCTTTACCTCTTTGGCAAACTACCCGGCTATCAGCCCAACTGCGGAGGAAATGTACCGCAACTAGGGGCACTATATTATCCGATTTGGCGAGAAGCACTCGGGGCGGATGTACGGCAAAAAGTTCATTGCGCTGTACAGTACAGCGCGCGTACCGACTCCAGGGTCTTGCTGAAAGGATATTCTGCCATACCACTACTTTATTTCTCTGTGCAGTAGACAACAGGGGTTCGCTTTCTGCCCTGCCCGCGAAGTTATAGTACCCGCACAACCGCACATAACTAGCGTATCGACACTCCCCCTTGCTACCATAGTACTGTATGATATTCCCATTGATATATTGCTGCCACTACTCCCACAAAAATCTGCATATATAAGTTTGCCGTCAAGACAAGACCAACTATGACCCTTCCTTCTCCTTCCACCCAGAGCCCGATGGTGTATCTGGCAAAGTTACTGGAAAGCCATAACAAACCAGAGCAATGTATATGGTCAATCTATGATATATAAATTTAACCCCAACACCAGCCCACCAAAGCATCAATGTTGAGAATTCTTCGTTTACGATACACTAACGAACTCGAGTCCTAAACGGATGAGGGGAAAAAAATGAAAAGAAACTATGATACAAACAATACCGGACAGTCTGGCCACCGATATAACCAGCGGTATGTTTCGAGCGGTGCGAAAGGTGCCCTAGACATTCAATTTTCAAATTCTATAGCCTCCGCAACTACAAAATCTTTTGCGAAGAATTAAATAAAAACCCCTGCTTATTGAAGAGCTTATAGATTCTGAGAATTAAATATCTGGTTGAGGCCTTTTAGGCCGCTCGAACAATATAAATACCAATAACCTCCATACCTACCTAGTCCCCCTGACACGCGGGTGCCAAGACTCCAACCCCTCAACGCAGTAAAGCGCCGCGTCAGGGCTCCACCTCTTAAATTTATCGCCTTCATCCCCGCCACTCACTCCCAGGATTCTCAAGCTTCGAAGCTGCTTCTCGACGGACCAGGGCCAAGTTCGGGCCAGTCAGTCGCCTTTTTATCCCACCTATGGTACTGCCGGATACACGCAACTGGGGAAATGGTCAGAAATCGTAGGATGAAGAAACATGCACACGTGGTATCATCAAGTCCATTGCTCGAGTTAAAAACCCCACCGACCCCTCGCGGGCTGGTCCAAATATGTGTTGAAAAAATTTCACTGCGCACGATCTCTATGCGGTGTGTTCGGATGAACTTCCGGGGTATTGTATCGTAACGCCTCTGCTCATATTCGACTGCACTATCACTTCCCAGCTCTTTCGTTTCTATTGCCATACAAAGCAAATGCGCCCAGACTCTTAAAAGGCAGATCAAGTCTCCATGGCGCTGGCCAGACGACCCCACATGCTACCGGTACAGTCCACAATTCATTAACAATCCGTCCTATCTGATCCGACCTTCTAGTGGCGCAGTGCTTAAGCCATAGACCGCCTCGCCAGCCATGTGGAGTTACCATGGGAATATATGATTATCCTCCGGAAGGTAGACTTGATTTTTTCCTTTTTTTTCTTGGGTTTAAAGGTTGAATGCGACGGGCCTCACGGGAGCAGATATGATACATTCATGGGGAGCAGAAACCACGATCATGAGTTAACTAGCGAATAAGTCCTTGCGCGTAGAGGAGTGAGTATAACTGGGGTATCCATGGTAGGGAAAGGTGGAACAATAGGTTTTGCAGTAAGTAGAGAGTATTTGGACTAGGGGACAGTGCGCTAGTATGTGCATAACGCAGAAGTGTAATAATATTTAGATTGTGATAAATTGTTCGGGGCATTGAGCCCTACTTTAAAGCCAGGAGGCAAAAGCCATAGAGCCACTTCTGCGGTATCATAGCCACACTTCGTGTTGAAACTTACTTCTCGCACTACTGCAGTGTTACTCCTACTACTGATACTTTCTCCTCGCATCAAACCTGATGGCGCATCTAGACCTCCTGGACTATTGAAGACACCTCCTTGCCTTTCTCACACACCTCTTTTCTCTATTATTGTTATTGTTCGCTCAAGCTATTTGTCTTGCTCCAAAACAGTAGATAGTCAGGGTCTTCAGCTCTTCCCTTTGAAAGTGTTAAGCATTCAAGTTTCTCAAGCAATCGATCACTTCTTCATATCTCGTATCATCATTCTATCCAATATTCTCACAACACTTCGGTATTTCAGCTATCGAGTGATATTTCGTGCGCCACTACCGCCACCAAAACAATACGAGTTTCGAAAAAGAGAACAGAACTTAAACTATGATAAACACATAGCGCGACGGTACCCCCAACCCAACCGACAAAGCGGCTAAACAGACTAATACCCGCCCGGATATCCCCCCGGATACCCTGACTGATGCCCATATCCACTATGATGTCCATGCTCCCCACTGCGCCTGCGATAACGACGCTCATCCTCAGAGTCCTCGTCTTCAGAATAGTGCTTCTTGTCCCTCTTGTCCCTCTTGTCCCTCTTGTCCTTCTTGTCCTTATCCTTGTGCTTATCCTTATCCTTGTCCTTTTTGTCTCTCTTGTCCCTGCGATGGAAGACATGTTAGTCATAAGCTCGTCGATTGGCGGAAGAGAAGATGGAAGGGGAAGAACATACTTATCATACTCATCGTGATGCTTCTCCTTCTTCTCCTTCTTCTTCTCCTTATCATAGTACTTCTCCTCCTTATGCTTCCCACTAGAGGAGCCACCACCTTTGTTATCGTTATACCCAGCCGTAACAGCGTCAAATATTCCACCAATGGGACCGGGGATATTGACCCCTCCAACGTTCATACTCCCACCACTCGACGAGATTCCCGGGATGATAGAGTAGCTATCCTTGCTTTTCTTAGAGTCCTTATCCTTCTTCTTCTTCTTCGCCTTTTCCCATTCACTGCCCTTAAGCTTCCCGTGGCCACCGTCGTGACCGCCGGCGAATACCCCTCCTTCGTGGTTCTTCCCGGCGCGGACACCCTCACTAGATAGTATGTCGTTCAGCGATGCGCCTTTGTCGTGAAGGCGCTCGACCCATGTGGCGACGGTATTGAACATCGTTGCCTGGACCTCAGCATTCGGATCACGCAGCGCCGGGTGATGGAACACGCGGGTGACATCATGGAGGACCATCTCTATCGGGGTGGTGGGGTTCTCCCAGGCGTAGACTATGCGAGGGACTGCATATGCTAATATCGCGCTAGCGACCTCTCCGGCGGGAGTATTAAGTTTATTGGAGAAGTGGTCCTTGGATAGGAGGGAGTGGGTCGGGTCAGTGCATGTCGGTACGGTCCATGGTTCGTACTGGTGGGCAGCTGAGGAGTCGACGACGGCACTAGAACCCATTTTTAGTTCTAGGGAGGCCTGGGCTATTATGGGGCGGACGAAGGGTGCTAAGAGGGAGAGTATGAATAACGAAAGAGTTTCGGAGATCTTCTCAACGAGCGCGGAGAGACCAGGGATTTGTTCTATAGTCTCTTCAATACAGCGCATGACTTTATCTCTGAACTCAAGGATTGGGTATATGTCGCGCGCGGTCTTTGCAGGGTCGAAGCCGCCAGATAGTGGAACAGCGCCAGCGCCTGCCGGCCCACGGGATTGTTGTGGGGATATGTGCATGTTCTCCATTTCTTTAGCATTGCTCTGCGCCTCCAGTCTATCTGCATCGCCAGAGAGACCACCAAGATTGGGAATCTGCTGCAGGAGGCCCTGCAGAACACTCTTTTGCCCGCTGCGTTCCGACTTTTTTTGCTGTTCGTGGGCTTCCCCAAGGACGTTGTCCAGTTCATCTACTTCTGTCTGAGAGAACTTATCTTGGGCTTCACCGAGGACAGAGTGCAAGAAGTCTACTGCTCCAAAAGTACCCGTCACGAGTGGGAATACGCGCTTCATTGGTCCCCCGCCCATAGGTTGTTGTTGATGCACGGGATACCCGCCAGCGTAGCCACCGTACGGGGGTGCACTAGGTTGAGCGGGGGTTGCGGCGCCCAGGCCCGCCATCATTTCTGTGCCCACACCAGTGTGCGTGAAGACGCTGTGAAAGCCAAGTTCGCGAAGGACTAGCTCTACGTAATTGGAGTGTGCGGAGAAGTCCTCCAAACAGTGCAATGCTTGCCCGAGGCAGCGTAGAGCCTCACAAAGGTCACCTTCACGACCGGCGATTCCGGTGCCGCCCGAGGTGTAGAGGCGGCCAAAGTGGATGGATCTGGTAAGAGAGTGCTTAACGTATCCAGTGGAAGTTGCCCATCCTCCAGTTTCGTTGGCGATATAATTTTTCATTCCGGTTAGGGGGTCTATGGCAAGTTCTGCCGGGTGGACCGGAGGACGAAGGCGGGGGTCATAATGACGTGCGTCCATGTTGTCTGCATAGTCTTTTGGGTTATCTGTTGCACCGTCGTCAGTAGACCCACCCAATCAAGGCCAAAGCTCAAGCAATTGAGTAGCAGCCTACTAACCGATATGCTCCTCAGGCCGGTAGACTCCTAACCTCTCCTCCGTAACCTCAAACTCCCCCGTAGCATAGCCGAAGCTCAAAAAGCTCAACACCCAAACGAGAATACGAATAGTGTCCTTATTAACGCTCTTGAGAGTGCCAACATCCAGAGCCTGTGAATAATCCCTCAACCAATTCCCAAAGTACACACGTCGGACATTCATAGCGGTCCATTTCCCACCCCTAAGCGCCAGCAGTGTCTTTAACGTGTCTTCAACGTCTCCGTGTCGCCAGTTTCTCCCCTCAATTTTGGCGATACTCGCGATGTTTCCTGCACCGAATGCGGCGGCCGGAGATGCAAGGGTTAGGAATAGGAGAATGGTGAAGAGAAGGAGGAGCGAGGTCCTCTTGCACATTGCCATGCTTGAAGAATTTTTAACTTTGCAATCGAGATATGCAGTGGGGCGATTAATGTTGGCGATGGGATGGAGTGGAGGTACCTTTAGTGTTCATATATGGTGGGGGGAGAAAGCTGGATTCTCCCTTTCTTCCTTATCTAGAGGAGGGGGGATCCGAAAGCGGGGTGGGGCAACCACACCAAAACCATTTCCAGCTGAAAACATCCTAGCGGTTGCATGCCAAGACCAGAGCATCCTGCTCTGCTCATCATGCCGGTAAGAATCCTTTGCGAGTCTGATAGACTATCGGTAGTCTACCCCGTACAAAGTGAATACCGGTACTCGTACGGTACCCGTTATTGGGATGCGTTCTGTAGAACTATCCTCTCGGCCCCCATGCAAACTCAAGCTGGAAAAATCAGGCAAAAGCATACTGCGCCCTGAGAGACCCTTCATCCCATCCCACGCGCTCGGACAAAACTTGTATCTATGATATCATACTGGTACGGTAGGGGTGTCTTACTGGCCCTTGGTATGGTAGACCTTTTCTTCTTGCCTTGAATGTGATTACCCCGTGCTTCCGCACCTAGACTATCTGACTATGCGAGCACAGTGCTACAAGTACTTTTGTGTACAACACCTGCTTCGCATGGACTTACACCAGTAGCTTTGCGCTCAATGCACAGCTCGCATCGAGGTCAGGAACACCCCGCGCCCTTCCTTTTCCAGCACTTAATATGCGCGAGTATGATACAGTGCCGTACAATGCCTGAATTCTGCACATTGATCCCGACAAAAACTCTCAAGAGACTATCAACTTTATTTAACTTATTCTACTAAATCTCGACCGTGCAGTGCCGAAATAATTACAATAAACTACCTCACCGCCTCCAAAGGAAAAATCTGCCCGGTGCCAAACACAATCCCACCGGAAGTGGGGGAAAAACCCTAGCTATGCACAACGGCAAGGAAAAGAACTCCACCCAAAACAAAACAAAACAAAGAAAGAAAACAATTAGGTAGTGTAGGGTAAAATAGAAAGGAAGAATACATATATATATATACAAAGTTTTTGTCGTGATAATAATACAAACCCGTTAGGGCTTTGTCAACTGCTCCTTCCTGAAAAACTTTAAATATCCCACACAAACTAGGATCTGAAATCCGAGCCCGACGTAGAAATAAATCTTGCCGAAAACCTCCGCACTCTCACCGAATCTCCAAGAGGTAAAGTCCGGGAACACGTCCCCGGGACCGATATTATTCGGAGCGGTAGCCCTGGCCGCGATTGTAGCCAGTGACCCAAAAACCTGGGCCCCGATGAGCGTGAAAGCAACGTGCATGCGGGTAAGGGTTTGCAGGAGGATCATCCCGAGACCGACTCCCTGAATTGAATCGAGCACCCCTAGCCAGAGCCAGAGCGAACGTCCGATGAGAGCGCTGGCCTCTGGGCCGCCAGTCCACGGAAGATACACACCTATATTCGAGATGCCCCAGAACATCTGGCACCAACGCGGGGCGCCAAGACCGATAGCGAAGACGGGGAGGATCCAGGAGTGCTCTTTCGAGAGGATGGCGAAGAGTTTGAGTATGCCGGCCCAGATGATGATGAAGAAGAGGACTACCAATAGCGCGATCTTCCATTGCGAGACGTGCGTGCTGCTCCAGAGATACGTCCAATTCCGACCGTAAGGCGCGGACAGCCAGTAATTCTGTATGACGACGGCGACGAAGAACCATTTCACGATGTTGCGGCGGAGGATGGCGCTGTAGAAGGCGGGCACTTTACCGGGGAGTTGGCGGTAGTAGTCTGGCAGTCCAAACCATAGGATGAGGGAAATCGCCCAAAAAGCGACAGCAAGCGGGATAATTATCGCCGCGATGAGTGGGCTCGGGGCACTGTCCTGGAGCACACCATCCACGGCCCGGGAGGTGAGTTTAGATCCCCAGTACCACAACGCAACTACATAGATCTGCTGTGTACCCTGGATGAGGCAAGCCCGGTACACCCAATCCTTGACAGGACTACCGCCTTCGTCTCCAAAATTGAGGGCAAAGTATAGCGATCCACTGGCCGAAGCCGCAGCGTAGAATCCCGTACCGACGTTACCGAGCCAGTACCTGCGCTGGAACAGCGGTGGCAGGACAGACAGCCCAACGAGGAAGAATGCAAGCCCGTACATGACGAACGGGAGAGAGAGGCACCAGACGGACTTTAGGTGGCGGAAGACGAACCACCATGCTATTGAGGCGCCAATGTAGATTGAGCAGATCACGTAGAGACGGTCGGCCGTCAAGGAGACCTGGTCCGTCAGGAGGGTGATTTGGTAGGAGTTTGCTGCTATTATTTGGCCCTGGAGATTATTAGCATGACGTTAAGCAGGGGGAACGGGGGAACGGGGGAACATACAATCGCTAAGAAAAAGCTATACAATGGCCAATCCCCAATCTTCCTCATCATGAATCTTTTCAAACCCGTCGGCGGCTTGAAACCCTGTACCTCCATCAAATCATCCCAGCCAGAAGGACTAGCGCTCCTTGACCCCTCCGCCATAGTAGTAACATCGGAGCGGGAGATATTTGGAGAGCTCATCCCCAGCTTCCGCAACCTCATCTCATTGAACCACTTCTTCTCCCACTTCATAAGGTACTCTTCGATACAGAGATCGACCCTTCCAGACTTCTCATCTATCCGGGCGAGTTCTTGCTCGAAGGCTTTCGAGGCACTCCCGTCAGCGTCGGTGAAGTTTGCGTTTACCTGCTGGAGGCAGTAGTCTCTTCGCTCCCCGACAACAGTGGCAAGACTTAGCGTTGAAGAGTTTGCGGATTCAGAGCTCCAGATCTGAGCCCTAGGTGGGGGTGGTAGCAATTGATCGGCGGGAGTAATCTCGTTGTCAGACTCGGAAGACGATCCAAATTCTCCGGGCGGGGGTGTCAGCTGTCCCTCTGTGAGATAGGCCGGCCTGGGGGGCTGTAAACTTAATTCGGAAGGAGCAGCACTCAAAATACGAGTATACCGCTTCGCACCCGCTTGAAGTCTTTCGAGCTGCTTCACCCAGACCATTACTGGGAAGCGCTGCTTAGCAGAAGTAGCCCGCATGCGTGCGCGAACCTCAAGCGGCGATGAAAGGGCTTCGCGAATTGCAGCTTCGAATTGAGCTAGGAGATGAGCAGGTGTTGTCGATTCAATGGTGAACCACCATCCCGGCATGTTCCCAAGACCACCGACACGGGCACCGATCCCGAGCGCGCCCTTGCGGCCGAATTCAACGGCGACCAGACCGAAGGGTTCATCGCGAGAGGGGATTAATGCGAATTCGGCGCCACTTTATCATGTTAGTATCTCCGACTAAGAAGCGTCAAGAATTGGGGAAATATAATACCTAAAAATGAACGGCGGTAGAGAAGTAAACTCAGGCTTCGAATAGACCCTCCCCGGGTAAACTTCCATAAGCCTCTGCAACTTCATAGCAGCAAACTTCCCGTAAAGATCAATAACCGGGCCAACGCACAGCAACTGCAAATTCTTATGCTCTTTGAGCAACTGCGGCGCCACATCAGCGATCAGATCAATCCCCTTCTGCATCGACCACCTCCCCACAAACACCAGTAATTCGGCATCAGGATTCTGTTCCAGACCAGCCCACTCCTGAGCCTGGCGCTTCAACTCTGCCCTCCCAGCTTCAAATTGCGCATCCACAACCGTCTCTGTACTTTTCCGCTGACTGGGGTCGTAATCCGCTGTATCCGTCGGATCCGGGTTCGGCAATTCCCCGACCCCAGAAAGTCCCCAGAAAATGGGATACCGGGCCCAACTGCGCTTGCCGTACTTTGCCGAAACCCCTACGGCTCCATAGCCGCGCTGGTGGACGCGCAAATATGAAGCGCCGGCGTGGAGGAGGTTAAAGACGTCACCGAACTGGACATACTTCTCGCAGAGCTCCTGGGAAATGTTGAAAACCGAGCATACTTCCTTCTTCTCTTTCGGTGTGCGGAGCGGCCAGAGGCCCTGGAACTCTGCGTTGTGGAGGGAGAGCACCGCCGGGATTGTCTCCGGGAGCAGGTGCACGGGTGCGAGAGCGCCGTGGTAGTCGTTGATGTGGTATAGGTCTATAGGGAAGCGCTTTATAACTACCGCGATGCACTGGTTCCACGCGGAGTAGAAGATTGCACTCTCGAGGTCGTCCATGCGCGGGGGGTACGGTTCTGCCTTTGTCTGCTTTCTGAAGACCGGCGCGTCGAGGAGGACGTATGTGATGTTATTCAGAATATGGTATTGCACGGCGATGACATAAACTTGGCCTAGGATGGTGACTTCGATACTTTCTGCGGGGGTGTCGACGGGGTAGTCCACCCCTCCCACGCAGGGGACGACCCAAATAAGGTCCTGATGTCCAAGGTTCTTCCCCATCAACTGCGCCATCACACCGAGCCCTCCGATTTTGATCTTGATGGCCCAGTCCTCGATGTCGTACTCCAGTGTCGCGATGAGTACCGATGGCCGCTTCTGACCAGCTGTCGTCAACTCCGATGAGTCTACGCCTGTCTCCGCTTCTCCCTTTTCGTTGGTGACAGCGGCGCTGGAGCTATTCAGGCGGGAATAAAACATTGATTTCGCCAATGCGATGGGGAGAATGTTGCGTTTTATGGCTATCCCCTTCGTGTTCGTCTTGACCTGGTAGAAGCCCGCCACGAACGTCCATACAGCGACGAAACCCGAGAGCACCGGGACTGCGAACAGTAGTGCGAAGATTATGATCTGGACCGTGCTGGAGCCCGCGGGGATCATGCGGTAGTTGTATGTTCCGTCATCGAGGATGATGCGGTATGATAGGTATCCTTTCGGCGGTGCGGCTGTGACATTTACTACGCTCTCGGCGAGGGAGGACGGAGGCATGCGGTCTAGTACCCCGTCTCTATTAATATCTCCATAGACAAATGTAGAATCCGGCTTCCCGTCTCGGTTCATTCCCCAAACGTTGAAATGGAACCTGGTCGGCCACTCAGCCATAAAGTCAAACTTCCACTTCCCGTCTTTGAGCAACTTCATCTCATTCTTAGTCCCCGCGTCGTACCCATAGAGATTAAACGGGCCATGAAGGAACAAGTGCGGGAACCGCCTAGACACGGGGAAGTTTGACGGAAGACCAAAGTCCGCATGCTGGATATGATCCGATGAACCTGCTGGCTCACTCCAATACTGCATGATGATGTGCTCCCCTTTCCATTTCTGCTTCTTCGTGCCAGACCAGGATTGCCGGTCAATCGTGAAGTTCCCACCACGGTAGTTTTGCCAAGCGCTCCAGCTGGAACCCCAATTCGTCGAGTAGCGGAATAAATCTGCCCCCGCCGCTTTCTGCGAAACGTAGAAGCGCTCGCCCTCCTTGTGCAGCAGGCCCAAGGTGTAATTCGCTGTGCGAGGGAAGACAATCGGGTTATCACGCTGTCCGATGCGGAAAAGGAAGTGATCAATTGCCGAGGTGTAGAACCTTCCGCTGTCGGCGCTGGCGTTGCGCACAGTGACTGTGTGGATTCCCTCATAGACGTTTTTCAGCGTCGCTTTGAATGTGAAGGCTCCTGGTGGTGCGCCCACGGTTTTGGGCCTTGTGATGTTTTGCGCTTTCTCGCAGCGCATGTCTTCGAATCGGGCTTTTTCTTCGGGACGTTCGGTTCTGGAAGAGATGCTTATTACCTCCTTTAGGTTGTCGCAGTCCATCTCGTGGGTGAATGTTAAGCCGATTTCCACGTCTTGGGATTTGCCAGGGGCGACTTTGGAGACGATGCGGGCGTCGTGACCTGGCGAAAATTTCGTGATTGAGGGACGATTTCCCACGAATTTCTCTTTAGGAACGAGGGCTTTGAAGCCCCATGCTGGCATTTCGAGGCTATCCAGACACCCACGGAATTCCTTCACCGAGTCCACGAAGAACTCCTTCTTGGATGCCTTAAGCGTGTACTCCTCATACGGGAAGAACAAATTCTGCACGACAGTGTCCTGCTTGAAGGGTGCTAGGAGGTTCTTGTTCGCATCATCGCAGTCGAATTCGAACTCTGTCGTCTTGTTATTGTTCGAGAAGACCAACCAGACGCTCTGGTTACCGCCTCCACTGAGTTCACCCAGATTCTGGACCCCATCGAAGTTGCCACGGACAACGGACCAGATACCTGTTTCCGTTGGCGTGGTACCGGAACCGGGGAGGAAAATTTCTTGGGTAAGATTTGAAAGCTGCTCGAGCTGGAAACCGTCGTTCAGAGTTGGAAACGAAAGGCGCATATGGTACATCGCTTTGAGAACGTTGCGAATGACATTGCTAGGATCGCGATGATCAAGACTGTTCCAGTCGTCCTCGCAGCCTCGAAGCGCTTTATCAAGTGGGAAGTTGAAGTACTGCGAGGAACCAAGCTTGTAGCATCCGTGGTTCTGCCACGCAAGGGCGGAAGACATTGCCTGACGGCCGAAGATGTAGTTGTCGGCGGTGTTGTCTAGTAAGTACATCGCTTGTTCTTCACCCCAGAGAAGCTGAACGGATAATCATTAGCCTCGCTTATCGTTTAATTCGGACATGAGATATCACCCGCCGCGGCGGCAAACGTACCTTTGGAATACCAGGCATGACCAAGGTTGTAATGAACAGACCCAATAACATCTTGTGCTCTCCATTTTTAATTGCGGGCCAGCGGAACACATCCTGATTCGTGACGCCGTACATATGTCTCGGATCGAGTTGTCCTGTATTCGCGTTGACCAAGTCATTGCTGACAGCCATAGTGTTCCACATATCCACCCAGTTCCCCGGCGTGTCGAATCCAGCCGTCAAGTTACCGTCCATCCCCAAGAACCTGGTCAAAGATCTGTAAACGGAATAATGGAACGCGCCGGCATCGAGTGCATTCTTCCCCTCCTTGCGGATGAAATACTTATTATCGGAATCACCGGTGAGCGAGAATGCCTCCTTGACGTCCACCGGTCGCATATCCGGCTGCCGGCCTCTGCCCAGGTAAATAGACCCGAAGGTATCGCCACCCGTGATCTCTCCCGGGATGAAGAAGTTCTCTTTACCGAACCTGCGAGCGCACTGCCGGACCGAGTCGGACCAGTCACCGAGCATATCCACGGTGATTTGCGTTGCCTTGTCGATGCGGAAGCCGTCGATGTCGAGCATTGCGATGGTTATGCAGGCGAAGTGTTCGATGCGGCGGGCCACGCTCGGTTTCCACTCTCGCAGACGATCCTGCACAGAGGCGAATTTGGAGAGTTGTCTTTGCCAGTCTGGGAAGATACCGAAGGCCTCGGTGTCGCCGTAGTGGTCAAAATCACTGTGCGCTGGAGTTAGTATATTTTATTGGACTGGAGGCGTTGACTGCATGGGGGATACTTACTCATCGTAGCAGCCCTTGACAGGAGGATACACGCGGCTGCCAGTCTCTTGCCAGAATCGCGGGTAGTTGCACTCCTCCTTGTAGTTGTTGCTGATTTCGAAGTCGCGGTACCTCCTATCACTTTTCCACTGGACTTTATGTTCGTTCAAGGTGAAGGGTGTTGTTGTGTTCAAGTAACCCTCGAAGCCGATCAAGTCACCCATACTATCTAAAGGTTAGCTCGAGAGACTAGTAATCATTGACTCCAAGGTGAACTCACGTAGCCACGGTGCAATCCAAGACAACGTACATATCCCGGGCATGGATCTCGGTGATGGCCTTCCTCCATTCCTCAATATCTCCAAAGTGTCTATCGAGAAGGGTTAGATCAAGAGGAGAGTAACCATCTGCGCCCCAAGGCATATTAATATGCGGTGTTCCTGCAATATAAATTCCCTACAGTGACGACAATTCATTAGCAGCTATGGCAAAACTTCTTCACCGAAATCGTCTATGCAAACCTTGATGCCCATCCCCTGCAGATAATCCAAACTATCCACCAAACCCTTCACATCACCACCGTGCCGCAACTGATTCCCCATAACGTCATGTTCGAACACCGTTCCATTCGCATCGTCATTCCTTGGGTCCCCATTTACAAACTTGTCCAAAAAGATTGTGTAAAACGGAAACCTCCAGTTCGAGGGGGAGCCGTTGAAAGTGTGGTTCTGCCATTCGCCCCAGTAGTCCAGAGGGTTCACCGCCGTGACATTCTCGTTCAGGTTATGCCCGACCTCCTCGGGGAGGTGAATGAGTGCATGGGCAAACTGAGAAGCAAAAGATATTAGACAAAATACTACGAGAAAAGGGAATGTATTGGTAGTGCTGTTAGGAGTTGGGGAGCTCCGAGACAGCCGTGCCATAACGAAATACAAAAAGGAGCGGGCAGACTCTGAAAGAACGCGAGTCTGATAAGGAGAAACTGTAGGTAACAGTATAGTATCGTGCTACGAATAGCAGTAGTGTAGAGGGGAAAGGGTAAGCCCGGGGAACCTGACCCCATATATGATAACCAACGGTTACCGCCAACAATTGTCACAACTGGCTGTGCCCGCTGGGTTGAGTCGAAATTGTTATGGCGCTAGTGATGTCCATGTTGGCAGTATGCCAGACCTGATGTGAGCTATGGTGATAAGGCTTTCCGTAACCGGAGCCCGTTGTGAAATTTCCTGACCACCTTCACCCGAAGTAGGGGTACCAACATGGACCACTAGAGCATGGATCTCCTTGGTGTTTCTAATTCCAGACAATTGCCAATGATCCCCCTATAGGTCCGGCAGACCCCGGGTGGCAGAAGGGGCGCTGTAGAAGGCGAGTGAAGTGTGCGGCCATGGAGCGTCAGCTATTGGATCCGAAAGTGGAATGCCCGTATGCCACAGATAAAGCCAAGAGTTCCTGCAACTAGCGATAGCTCACAGAGTTAAATACGGTAAGATATTCTATCTCTCAAACTCTTCTCCCGTTATTTGGGCCAACTTTCCTGCAGCCGCGGCTTTCAATATCAATCCATTCCTCTTCCGATAGCCACCCTCAGCTGGAAAGAAATTTCCACAAGACCAGAGTCATAGAATCTCCACTCAGAAAATACTCTACCACCAACTCACCATCTCCTCGCCGCTGCTGCCTCGCTGGTGTTGAGACTACATTGCCAGCGAAAGCTTTAGTACAAAGGCGGACATGTCGGAAACTGTGCTGTTTTCAGATAGCCAGCTTGATTATGTCCAAATGATATTACGATAAACTAACCCGCTCCAGACGCCGCAGACGGGGCACAGCAGAAGAAAAACACTGCTGAAGGCCGCAACCTATTTGACGTTTGTGTGATTAATCCTATTCTCCGGAGAAGTGTTCCCCCCACATCAGATCTCCCGACCTGGAGTCCGTCAGGCACCTCATATCACTCGACACTGTAAAAGCTTCTCCACGGAACATCTTGCACAGGGGATGGGGGGAAGTTATCCCAAGATTGCAATTAAACTCAGCCTTTCCAGATACTGTACGGTATCTCCAAAAGGTGCGCAGTAGCCTGCTACGGGAAAATGGGATACTAGGGATCGTTTTTAGAGATGAAAGGTGTGGCCTCCGTCGGTATCAAATACCCGCCGAATCACGGGTACCTGCATTAGCTACATGGGGGGGGGGGGTGGAAAGGGAAGGGGCTGTAGCTCCGATTTTCTTTATAGAAGAGTTTTTGGCTCTAAGACCCGAATGAGTGCCTATCTAAAGGTTTGTACAGCAAATAGACTGAGACAGCCCGATAGATTCTGCTCCTGGTTTTCGCACCTCAGCCTTTGGGCAGAGTTGGCAGGGGAGTCCTGGCCGGTCCGGGTCATACCACTAGAGTCCAGGAGAGCTCTAAGTCGACTAGCAGACTATGCGAGACAAAAGTTCTCAGAACGAAGACTAAATAGACACAAAGGCGGGATATTAGTTCTAGTACTTCTAGCCCATTCCCTGCTTTGCCAGAAATCCGACCCCCGCCCACCTCCCTGCATGTCCCAGGCTAGAAAGTGCAAGAAAACAGGGGTTAGAGAAACAGATGGTAAAAAACTCTGCTCGTACCTGCGCCAATTAACAGATACACCCCCCCCCCTTGTTTATTCCGGCACTTCTGGCACGGGACAGGCACCCAGCCTCGGGAATCTAGACTCTTGCTATTGGTAGGAAACCCAATCGCCAGCAGAGCGCTCTCTCGGAACGCAGCTATCACACAAAAATCCACTCATCCATTCTCACATCCATTCACAGATTCTCTCTCTCAGTGAGCGCACTTCCTGAGGCCGAAGTGGTCGCCATCAAATTGACCATAACCCGAATCCTGGGACGTACTGTTCTTCTCAGTGTTGCCCAGCCTCATGCCAACTAAGCAGATATTGTGATGGAGTTGTCGCACAAACAAAATAGTAATTGCACTTACAATAGTCGTGTATCACGAGCAAGCGCCTGACGAAAAAAAGAAAAAAACCCACCCCTTACCTATTCCTACGGCCTGTTCGTGTGACGCGAGTATAAGGCTGTGGAATTCGGGAGCGGGAGGATTAAATACTCGAGTACTGTACTTGTAGATGAATGAACCTACCGTACTAGTACTAGTACCTTTCACCATAACACAAGGGGGCCATAATACTCGTATTAACCCTTCGACCCAAAAATCCGCAATGGCGTCGTACAGCGTATCGCTCGTCAACCTCCTTCACCTAACTTCCCCTTTTTCCTGCTGGTTCTCTCCAGCTCAAGGAGAACCCCCACGCATAGCACAACACAGAATAATACACTTCGTGACCGCCACCACCTTCCAGCTGGGGCGATGATGGGGGATGGGGGGGAGAGAAAGAGAAACGTGATTACCCACCTCCCCCGAGAAGAGGTGAGGTTACACTGTATAGTACGATGGCACAGTGAGCGGAAGTGAGAAATAAACTATCGCATCCTTCTCCCAAAATTTATCAGTGGCAATAGTTGGCGATGGGGGTGAACATGTCTAGTCCAGTTCAAGCAAGTTATCCAATAATAGTACAGGTATTTATGAAAATCTATATGGAGCCCAACGGGTTTGTACTTTTATGATAACGAGGATCGCAATTATTGCAAGTATGAAACTCGAGCACTGCGCCTGTTACCTAAGACACGCTAGGATATTTGAGGAAGAGGACTCTTAGTGTGGGCTAGTGTAGAAACGACAACCAAGCACAAAAAGGGCAGCCGCGCGGTGGGGGGAAAATTAAATCCGCTGACGGTTGTATAAAGGTGGTTGTACTGTACTGTACTGTACAACTTGAGTTTGATAACTTGTGGCTATACCCGGTTCTGGAGTTCCGGATTTTGTCTAATTACGAGTGAGATGTGAAGCAAGTCCATTACTAAACTAAGATATCCCCGGAGTAAGCGGGCATGAAGCTGTTCAGTCGATCAAGATAGATCTAGTGCAGTTTCCCCTAACGGCCGACTCTAGCCCAAGTACGGTACGATCCTTCCACGCAGCTGATCGCGGTTGCTCATCGACGGTGCCGGTCATGCCACCATCTGGACATGGGAGACGGATAGATGACTGAGTCTCCCTCCCCCCAACACCCCGAATGACAACTCTATGCCAGAGATTGGGAAACCCCCCTAACTTCATCATAAAGCAAGTGTGCCACGAAAAGAGCAGGATGCCTACCGTACCTTCAAGTCACCATCCAGTCAGATGTCCCCGAGATGGTTTTAAGAGGGCGCAGCAGCCATACGCCAGTTACCACCACATGTCCCTTTTCCTACTCTTTGTATCAGGGTTTGAGCTTGTGCATAACTGAGCTGGCTACCACAACCACCCACTCCGTCGAAAAGGTAAAGTGCAAGACATCGCCCCCCAAAGCCTGTCACCAGTAAAGTCTCTCCACGACCCGGGATCCCAAATGCCCACTGAAAAATGCCCACTGAAAAATAACAATTTCCACAGCCAAAAGAAGATACCATACCATACAAGGGAATCAAAGGTCCGCGCAAGGTTCGGTGGGAATCTCCGCCGCTCGCTTCCCACTCTCCTCGCTGTCCGGCATCCCGGTGTGGGACGAGACCTGGCTATGAAAGCAGCCGGTAATTGCCATAAACCATCCCAACACAAATCCCCCGAGCTCCCATAAGGCGTCCCATCAGAGAATTCCGAGATGTCCATTCCCGCTTGTAATTTTTGCTGGTAATTAGACAAAATCTCTCTCACCTAGCAATTCTCGCCGGAAAATAATTAACCCCTGTCAGGACTTATCTTTCGTGTAGCATAGCAAAAGTGTTTCTCCCGCTTTAGGCGAAATTAGTTCCGGTAGTGACGGGGGGGGGGAGTGGAGGCGAATAAGATTTCAAGGGAGGAATACTTCTTCCATGTGATTATCACTTTCAATCTCAACATCCCTCCAGGACCTTCCCTTTCCGGACCGGCGATCACTGTAGATCACTCGATATGATCTTAGATGATGATCCGGACAGCCCCAAAGCAGCATCTTGAAGCCGTAAACAGACTCTTGGAGCCAGGTTTGGCTCCATGACCAGACGTTCAGTATGCCCTCGGAAGACATCTTTTCACCAAGTAGAAGAACCTCACAAACCCCACAAAGGGTAGATTTTCACACACCAAGCCAACTTAAAATACCAGAAGCCAACATGATGCCTCAGACACCAGCAAGATCCTACAAACTCCAATACCTGGCACAAAGCTAACAATTGCATATTTTTCACCAAGTTAGGCACCCCCACAAAACCCATAAAACCTTATATTATTATTTTTACACCAAGCCTGGGCATATTTATGCCAAGTTAAATACCAAAACCCAAGCAAAGTCATTTTAATACATATTTTATACAAAGCGGCCATAGAATATTTTCACCAAGTTAGGCACTACGCAAACCCCATAAAGCTTATATTATTATTTTTACACCAAGCTTGGACATATTTATGTTGAGTTAAATGCCAAAACCCAAGCAAAGTCATATTAATACACAAAGCTGTCATAGAATATTTTCACAGAGTTAGATGTCCGGCAAAACCCATAAAAATTATATTATTATG